GCATTGAAAGCATATAAGCACGGCAACTTGGTAAGCAAACATGAGGTGGGCATCCGTAAAGAAAACAAAGCAAGCTTTGCAAGGCTTTCGCTCTACAACGTAAATACATTCCCTTTGTTGATTTCTGTCGTGTTTTTCTGCACAAAATGTATTGCCACACATCCTTTGTATATTGTATTAACCGCATCTGTGCATTTTGTAACCTGTAATTACAGATATAATTATTTAAATACGCCTACCGACAATGACTGAAAATAGTACCATTCTACGAATATTAGCTTCCGCGGTGAAGCGGCCGTCAAACCAGCTGTTTCAATCAGAGGGGGTTTATTGTGATTTAATAGCCTCTGATTGACCAATCAGAATCGAGTAAATTCCAAATTCATGGTAGAATATCCATTTATACAATAATATTTAATAAGATGGCATTAAATCAAATGAAGCAGTGTGAATGAAAATAGAGACAAAATGTATCCATTTTATTTACTTTTCAAAATAAGGTTGATTTCTTTCTAGGCTTTTGAAAGAGGTATCCATTTTGAAATAAAGTACAGTCCTACTGTACGTGATTCAACACTGAGGAGAAATGTCATATCGTCTGCAATTTCCCTGGCAGAGATCACAAAGGGAAAGGTAAGATGTTATGTCTATACTGATAAACAAATTGGTCGTACATCAGCTGCAGATTTCAATATACAATATGAATTACCAGTGACACTGTTAAAGGAAGAGAATATATGGATGTCTTTATTATGAGGAACACAACGTTTCGGAGTATATGCTTACTTCTTCATAAGGAGTAACATTGTGTTCCTCATAATAAAGAAGTTGACATCCATATATTCTCTTCCTTATGTGCATCACTTCTAAATGCCTTTCAAAGACCTGACATTATTATATTAAAGAGTACCTTGCTGAAGATGTCCAAGGGGAGATAATTTGAAGATACAAGACTACTCTCCCTTAGATTGTCTAATTAAACTTTGCAACTTCCATAAAAGCAAGATGCTTGAAACAAACATTCAACAAGCTTACTATATGATGCTAAAACTGTTTGTTAAATTTGTTTCAGAACATAATTCTCAGCAGTGGCTGTGAAATGGTAAGAAATTACATGTTACTTTGCATCTATTTTGTATAGATTCATGAACAGTGTGAGAACTTAGACGGTATGTTTCCAATGTCCAATAGATTAAATAATAATCACTTTACTTTTTTCTAGGCAATGGAGCTGAGAGGTCCATATGATGTCATCAACCTGTATCTTTTCATTTCATAGATGGTATAAACAAGTTAAAGCAATTACTTACAATGTTTTTATGGCAACAATATGCATTTTGCATGTATGCATGTGGTTCAAAATTAGTTGCAATGTTCATGTACTATTTTTGTTATGGCAATGATTTTAACAATATCACATGAGATTCAATATTAATTGCAATATTTCATTATTTCCTTAACAATATATAAGTGGGCTTATGTTTGGTTTGAATCATGAAAATGCCAAGAATGCTGTTGCCAAGAATTGCAGAGCTGTATTAAAACATGCAGGTCAGTATTCACAATGTGTCTTTTAACAGCCATTTACCATTGTCAGTATACATACTTCACTATGAAAATATCAGATGGGATTCTGTGTCAGGATAGGTCCCTAGTATTTCATGGGGAGTGGCTGATTCGATTAACATACATCTTCATGAGGCAAGGGAGTTAACTGACTCTAAAAGTTCAGTTTCCACCCTTGCCGAACTAGGCTAGAATTTCTAGGTTCGATGGTAGCACCACTAGTGGCTATTACTAGTTATGTAACTTCTATGCACCACCTATTGACCAATCAGATTCCACCTCTCATATCACTTGCAATTGCTTCAAACAAAATGGCGGTGCCTGATGAAGACGATCTGATCGATGATCAAGATATATGTTGCAAAAAAATGTGTCTCACCTCGAAAGGTCCATCAGATAATTGAGTACCTTGTTTAAAAACATGAAAGGATTGGGAAAATATCTGATGGAACACACCCTTTGCAAATCCTGCAGTCGACCGAAATCTGCATGTAGAAATCCATGTTCTTTACGAACTAGATGTCAATTTCGTTAAAAGAATTTGATTGGACTATTTGTAAACTCGTTTGTCCAGCCAAGATATAACTCCATAATTCCAGCCTAGTTCGGCAAGTTTGGAAACTGGACTTTTACAGTCAGTTTACTCCCTTGCCTTGGGAAGATAATTTATCATGCCAAAGATGAGTTTATTTTGTTTTGTTAACACATTTGTTGGTTGCCTAAATAATGGAATCTAGACCAGAAAATACAGTGATTGATATTGTGTGCAATGGTCCATGATGTTGGTCTATGATGACAGTCTTAGGATGCTATCAAGTTGCCTCTTAGGACCAAAGAAGGTTGCTGGGGACGAATATTCTGGCCCTCATTCCCAAGGATAGTTTTTAATTGTGTCTTTAATTGGCATACTTTGAGAGACCAAGCACATATTTGTAACCAAAGAGCAAAATATACTTGATTCTGATTGGTCAATAAGAGGTTTCAAATCACAATAACCACCTCCTAAATATTTCCTTCCTGAGTGGGATGGGGTGTGTTTTGAAACTGTAACTATTTGATGCGCTCCGTAGTACAAGATTAACTCTAATAATAAAGAGGATATGTTAGTTTGAACCAATTCAAAACTGACAAGACTGCAGGACAAGCTCTTAAAGTTATCTAATGTTATTGTATTTTCTAGAATCAAGGAAAATCTCAAAATCTGTTATATCTGTGAGCAAGTTACCTGTGTCTGGTAACATGTGGACCATGGACAAGTATGGATGTAGTGTGTTGGCTGAAGATGATGGGACAGAAGATGAGCCCAAGAAGAAGAAAAGGAAGAAGAAAAAGGGAAAGAATAAATAAATAGTCTTTCAAGTTCTTTTTTGCATTATTTCGTGTCTTTATGATAGACGTATTACAAGTGGTCTAAGGCACCACAGTTGCATTGTATGGTCATTCCGGGACACACAGATCCCATATTTCCTATAGGCCTTGGTTGGTTTCGCCATCTCGTAAATGTTATGAACTGCAATACTTTCATCCTTCATATGGTTGGCATGCAGTGATGTGTGAATTTGGTATTTATATTAAACTCACTTGTCTCAAAAGGTCATATTTTGGAGAAAAATGTGCAGCATAACTAACTGACTTCAACCTTGATAATGCAAGGTGTACCTTGATCTGTCTAATAGCCCTTTGGGAAACCTGTACCTTGATCTGTCTAGTAGTCCTACTAAGCGACCAGCTGCACCTTGTCTGGTAGCCCTAGAGGCCAGCTGTACCTCATTTTCTGTCTAGTAGCCCTACTAAGCGGCTTGCTGACTTCATCTGTCTTGTGGGGGCACGGGTGGCCCAGTCGTCAAGGCACAGCGATTCGCTGTGCAGAGTTTCGTCTCTTGGGCACGCCAGAAACCTATAATTGTGGGTTCAAATTCCGGTTTGCCCCGATTATGTTTCTAGGTTTGTCAGCACCATTACCGTGCTCGAGGGTTTCACCGAAGTGGTAAATGTCCGAGACCTGCATCACTTCGGGCTTTCCCCTCTAATTAAGCTGACATGCCGTAATATAACTGGAATGATGTTAAACACAGCGTTAAACCCAACTCACTCACTCATCTGTCTAGTAGCCCTAGGGGCCAGCTGTACCTTGATCTGTCTAGTAGCCCTACTAAGCGGCTTGCTGACCTTCATCTGTCTAGTAGCCCTAGGGGCCAGCTGTACCTTCATCTGTGTAGTAGCCCTAGTGGACAGCCATACCTTCTTCTGACTAGTAGCCCTAGTGGACAGCCATACCTTCATCTGTCTAGTAGCCCTAGTGGACAGCCATACCTTCATCTGTGTAGTAGCCCTAGTGGACAGCCATACCTTCTTCTGTCTAGTAGCCCTAGTGGACAGCCATACCTTTATCTGTGAAGTAGCCCTAGTGGACAGCCATACCTTCTTCTGACTAGTAGCCCTAGTGGACAGCCATACCTTCATCTGTCTAGTAGCCCTAGTGGACAGCCATACCTTCATCTGTGTAGTAGCCCTAGTGGACAGCCATACCTTCTTCTGACTAGTAGCCCTAGGTGCTACCTGCACCTTGATCTGTCTAGTAGCCCTACTAAGCAGCGTGCTGCCCTTGTCTAGTAGCCCTAGGTACCAGCTGTACCTTCATCTGTCTAGTAGCCCTAGGAGCTAGCTGTACTTTCCATTGTGTCTAGTAGCCGCACTAAGGGGCTAGATGGACCTTCATCTGTCTAGTAGGGGCCAGCTGTGCCTTCATCTGTCTATTAGCCCAAGGGGCTAGTTATAGGTGTCTGTTGGTCAGTCCAAATTTTGGTATTTCAAGTCAAACAATCTCCAAGTAGCTTGTTAAAGTACTCATGGAAATGAAAAAAACCCTGTTTTGCTGGATTTAATAATCAACACAAAGCATTACGTAGATGTAAATACGAAATAACAAAACAACTGGAAAAGTACTAGTCTCGATTTGCTAGTTTTATCTCAGTGCTCAATACAAAATGTACTTTACAGGAGGTAATTTGTAGGCACTTTCAACATTGAAAAATAAAACTAAGTCCAAATTGACATGACAGAAACAGGCTATAGGCATTATGCAAATTAGCCTGGAAAAAAAGTTATCAAAACAACAATAAAAATAACAGCTATGTTTATGTACATAATAATAATGACATGTAAGTTGTTGTTTGAGAAGGGAATATGTTACTTTTACGTTCTGATATTTTGACGATGATTCACTATCCCACAATGCCACGCACAAATCACTAACCACTGACAAATCACATGCACGTGGGTTTCAAGCACCTGTTTTCACCTGTCGTCAAGGTGTCATAGGTCATGGACATTCACCTTGATCTACTAACACCTGGTTATGCTCAGTTTCACAATAGTCTGTTTTGTTCATATTTTTACACACTTTTACGTGTAAAAAGACATAAAAACCTTTGATACACTGTATTTGTGCCAAGGCCCAATTAGTACTAATTGAGTTGTTTGAATATTTATATATTTTGTATATCAACTGCATTTATTTAAAATCTGAGATCGAAAAAACAGGTTTTTTTCATTTTGTGAGTACTTTAGTATGACCCATGAAGTTTGTGACCCCATTTCTTTTGACTTTTTGTAGTTATTTATGGCCATAAACATCTGTCCAAGTGCAGGTCAGTATATTCTGAAACAGGCCAGCGACAGGTTTGACCAGCTTCTAATTTCCTTGGCTAGAGTATTCATATGTTTTGATAAATGTTTTCGTACATCTACATACAGATAACAGTGGTAGAATTCAGAAGAAATAGCCTATCGTCCAGCATTGCCAACTTGTTTAAGAAAGAACTAGCCTGTCACAAAATATAACTAATGAATATTGCCATATTATCAAATAATGCTATATAGCCATTTTATGTGTGAAATAGGTAATTTACTAGCCATCTGGGATAGTCACTTAACTACTGCAGACAGGAGAGGCACTTAAGTGACAAGTTGGCATTTGAGGCCACATCGCCCATAGTGCTGCATATACAAAAATGCAAAAAGTGTGCTGTTTCTTAACATATATATATCAATAAGGTGCTTATCTGGGTAGGTTTCTGTTTAGATATAAATATACACTTTTAGTAACTGCAGGCTTCACTGATGAGAGAAACTGGGATAATGTATGAATGGAAGGATTAGTATAATAACAGGGAGGCACAATCATTTCTCCACTTGACTGAAAATAATGTTGGTTGGTTGGTTTGTTGTTTAACGCCGCACTCATCAATATTCCATGATTAATATCATGAGCAATTGGGATCGATGACATACATCAACCAAGTCAGCGAGCCTAACCACCCGATTCCGTTAGTTGCCTTTTACGACAAGCATAGTCGCCTTTTAAGGCAAGCATGGGTTGCTGAAGACCTAGTCTACCACGGAATCTTCACAGGTCCGGAAAATAAAGACATTCCAAGAGAAAATTAAACTCATCATTAATAGTAGGTGCATAACAGTTTGTACTAAAACATTTGTGGATCATCGTATGCTTTAAACTATTTATACTGCACTTTCAACTTATGTGATGCACAAAGAAATTTACAATATACTCTTAATAACTCCTTAAAGGAAATAATTCAATTGTATACTTTTCAAACACCTATCATAGGTTTGAAACCACAATACAAATTTAAAAAAGAGGAACCTGATATCTTATCATGCCATTTCTGCAACTCTATATCTTTACATCTCTGTGAAAACATGCTCAAAAAAGCTTTAACATTACCACAATCCTGAGTGATCCAGACAAATGAGAAACCAGTTACAAATAATAACTTACGAATGTGAGAGATCCAGTTTATTTTACAATTATCCTAAAAAATCTGAACCAATAACCATACATCTACTATAATAATTAACACACATATAACTTCCGTCTACTTTATCTAATGAAGCACTGCTTGATGTGCGTCTTGAGACACCCAGACACCTCTTAAAGTAATTACTCTGTACCTTTTCTATAGACTCCCTAAACGTAAATCCCCAAATTTCTGAACCATACAATAAGATTCGAGCAACCAATATACTTTGGATGATATCAAATGACAGAGATGGAATAGTTCTCAATAATCTATGGACAGGAAAGCTAGCCTTATAGCCTTGTAAAGTTTCACATGCTTTGGACAACACTAACCTTGAAGAAACAAATAATGCCCAGATATTTATATGGCTGTGTAAAGTTTATATGTAAGTATCATGGCTGTGTAAGGTTTGTGTGTAAGAATCATGGCTGTGTTGGGTTTATATGTCAGTATCATGGCTGTGTAGGGTTTATCTGTAAGTATCATGGCTGTGTAGGGTTTATATGTCAGTATCATGGCTGTGTCAGGTTTATATGTCAGTATCATGGCTGTGTCAGGTTTATATGTAAGTAACATGGCTGTGTAGGGTTTATATGTAAGTATCATGGTTGTGTAGGGTTTATATGTCAGTATCATGGCTGTGTCAGGTTTATATGTCCGTATCATGGCTGTGTCAGGTTCATATGTCAGTATCATGGCTGTGTAGGGTTTATATGTCAGTATCATGGCTGTGTAGGGTTTATGTGTAAGTGTCATGGCTGTGTTGGGTTTATATGTAAGTATCATGGCTGTGTAGGGTTTATATGTCAGTATCATTGCTGTGTCAGGTTTATATGTCAGTATCATGGCTTTGTAGGGTTTATATGTCAGTATCATGGCTGTGTCAGGTTTATATGTTAGTATCATGGTTGTGTAGGGTTTATATGTCAGTATCATGGCTGTGTTGGGTTTATATGTAAGTATCATGGCTGTGTAGGGTTTATATGTCAGTATCATGGTTGTGTAGGGTTTATATGTCAGTATCATGGCTGTGTAGGGTTTATATGTTGGTATCATGGCTGTGTAGGGTTTATATGTAAGTATCATGGCTGTGTAGGGTTTATATGTCAGTATCATGTCTGGGTAGGGTTTATATGTAAGTATCATGGTTGTGTAGGGTTTATATGTCAGTATCATGGCTGTGTAGGGTTTATATGCCAGTATCATGGTTGTGTAGGGTTTATGTGTAAGAATCATGGCTGTGTAGGGTTTATATGTTGGTATCATGGCTGTGTAGGGTTTATATGTTGGTATCATGGTTGTGTAGGGTTTATATGTCAGTATCATGTCTGGGTAGGGTTTATATGTAAGTATCATGGTTGTGTAGGGTTTATATGTCAGTATCATGGCTGTGTAGGGTTTATATGCCAGTATCATGGTTGTGTAGGGTTTATGTGTAAGAATCATGGCTGTGTAGGGTTTATATGTTGGTATCATGGCTGTGTAGGGTTTATATGTTGGTATCATGGTTGTGTAGGGTTTATATGTCAGTATCATGGCTGTTTAGGGTTAATATGTTGGTATCATGGCTGTGTAGGGTTTATATGTAAGTATCATGGTTGTGTAGGGTTTATATGTTGGTATCATGGCTGTGTAGGGTTTATATGTAAGTATCATGGTTGTGTAGGGTTTATATGTCAGTATCATGGCTGTGTAGGGTTTATATGTAAGTATCATGTCTGTGTCAGGTTTATATGTAAGTATCATGGTTGTGTAGGGTTTATGTGTTAGAATCATGGCTGTGTAGGGTTTATATGTTGGTATCATGGCTGTGTAGGGTTTATATGTCAGTATCATGGCTGTGTAAGTATCATGGCTGTGTAGGGTTTATATGTCAGTATCATGGCTGTGTAGGGTTTATGTGTAAGTGTCATGGCTGTGTTGGGTTTATATGTAAGTATCATGGCTGTGTAGGGTTTATATGTCAGTATCATTGCTGTGTCAGGTTTATATGTCAGTATCATGGCTGTGTAGGGTTTATATGTCAGTATCATGGCTGTGTCAGGTTTATATGTTAGTATCATGGTTGTGTAGGGTTTATATGTCAGTATCATGGCTGTGTTGGGTTTATATGTAAGTATCATGGCTGTGTAGGGTTTATATGTCAGTATCATGGTTGTGTAGGGTTTATATGTCAGTATCATGGCTGTGTAGGGTTTATATGTTGGTATCATGGCTGTGTAGGGTTTATATGTAAGTTTCATGGCTGTGTAGGGTTTATATGTCAGTATCATGTCTGGGTAGGGTTTATATGTAAGTATCATGGTTGTGTAGGGTTTATATGTCAGTATCATGGCTGTGTAGGGTTTATATGCCAGTATCATGGTTGTGTAGGGTTTATGTGTAAGAATCATGGCTGTGTAGGGTTTATATGTTGGTATCATGGCTGTGTAGGGTTTATATGTTGGTATCATGGTTGTGTAGGGTTTATATGTCAGTATCATGGCTGTTTAGGGTTAATATGTTGGTATCATGGCTGTGTAGGGTTTATATGTAAGTATCATGGTTGTGTAGGGTTTATATGTTGGTATCATGGCTGTGTAGGGTTTATATGTAAGTATCATGGTTGTGTAGGGTTTATATGTCAGTATCATGGCTGTGTAGGGTTTATATGTAAGTATCATGTCTGTGTCAGGTTTATATGTAAGTATCATGGTTGTGTAGGGTTTATGTGTTAGAATCATGGCTGTGTAGGGTTTATATGTTGGTATCATGGCTGTGTAGGGTTTATATGTCAGTATCATGGCTGTGTAAGTATCATGGCTGTGTAGGGTTTATATGTCAGTATCATGGCTGTGTAGGGTTTATGTGTAAGAATCATGGCTGTGTAGGGTTTATATGTTGGTATCATGGCTGTGTAGGGTTTATATGTCAGTATCATGGCTGTGTAAGTATCATGGCTGTGTAAGTATCATGACTGTGTAAGTATCATGGCTGTGTGCACATGTGAGGAGCATATTCTACACACTCAAAGTTTCTGCACCATTCACATGTGTACAGATTCTGTAGATGATGGAAACTATAAATGATGATAAAGTACAACAGAAATATCAAGGCCAGTGACACAAACACAGCTGCTACACGAGTCCTCTTGGTCCACAACCGGAGATTAATGTATGGAAGGAATGCAACTGCACTCAGATGTCCTGTAAGGAAGCCAGTGATAATTGCAAAATTGCTTATCAGGGGCAAAGTTCCTGTGATCAATGCTAAAGCTAGGAGGCCATAGATCTTGACAAGTTCCAGCCATGGTCGCGTGAGAAGGGTCCAAGCCTCGATGAGCTCCATGTGTAATACACCTAGTGAACTCATTACGGCAGCTGTCGTGCAAACCTGGGGGCTGTAGGGGGAGACAACTGATGCACACTGAAAATGGAAATAAACATCTTGCATAAATTTGGATCCTTGGAATCAATTTTAGCAGAAACCATATATCGCGATATGTTATGTATCACGATATTTTGTTTATGATGTGGTATTATAATGATGACACCATTTTTGAGTAAATGTTTGAGCGAGTTATTATCTTGATATAGTCTTTGAAATTAAGCATGAAAGTCAAGGGTCCTTGTCATAACCCTAATGTCCATAGATTCAAATACCATTGGAGAAGGTCATGAACCCCCCAGGACCTCCTTAATTTTGAACACTGTTGATATGAGGTAAGAAAACCCAATTTCGTTTTTATGTTCTCGGTACAAAATAATTTTTAAGATGAGAGTCCTCTGCATTAAATGTAAATAATGGCAACAGTAATACTTGCCATACCACCTGCGGCTCCACAGATGAAATATATAACGGCCACCCGCAAACACCCAGCTGACATCTCCACTTGCCGCAGAAGTAGCCACTCAGCCACCAGCAGCAACAGCAAATGTACTACACCATGGGTGTACACCAGAGACAAGAGTGGGCGCCACCATTGGAAGGAACTGGGAAGCCAGGGTTTATGAATATTCGATGACATTCCACCCATTTGGCAGATTTCACTTGGACAATTTACCTAGTAGAGTGATTAAATGGTGTTAAAAATATAGGATGAATCAAACTTATAAAGTAGATGTAGCATACTGTGTAGTCAAACTAGAGGTAATACTGTATAATAACTGTTAAGAGAACATTTTGGTGTAGATTTATGTGTACACATTTGTACATGCACAATTGACCCCAAAGTGATGGAATTCCACACTATTGCTGAGATCATGCAAGCAAAGTTTTCTAACCCAGATCTTTACAGGGCCTGAAACTTCTGTGAAGATGAACAGACATTGTCTCGCGACAGGATAAGGAACATGAGTGTTTTTACCTGAGAACAGTGTTCCTTTTCCTTTTCATGAAAGATTCCTCCGAGAAAACTGCAGTGTTCATTTGATAGGAGTAAGCAGGTGCCCCTCTCATCAGTACAGCAGGGTTTGAGGACATGCTCCACATAGTTCTCCCCAGGTTGTCTCTGGCCACAGGGTACCTCCCTCCAGAGACCTACACCTGCAAGTATTAAAAACAATGTATACAACTGCGCAGTCCACACTAGAAATATTCAAAAGTTACGATAGAGTTGATGACTTGGAGTAGAGGTGCAGGAAGTCAACATTGTTGTCCAGAAGATATTGGGTTTGTCAATACTACGCAGGAATCTGGATTGATTACTCGTCTTGGACTAGCAGACTTGCTGTATTGGCTGTATGGTTGTTCTGTTCTAATGTGCCCCCTGACCATGAACAATCTGTAAGTAATCTCTATGACTGCACCCAAATTAGACTGAAACTTTAAATGACAGTCTGTATATTCTTGTGTATATTACAGACCTAAAGAAAGCAGCAGTGTAAGAGCAGTGTAAGAGTATATATTTGCCTGGGAACTATCGTCAAAAGTAAATTGTTTGAACTAAGTTTCTTCAGGACCGCTTGATCTCCAAAAGATTTAATGTGTTAATTTGGAATCCTGAATGGTGGTAAATTTGTACATCTCATTGAGTGGCTTGTCTAAAATTGATATTGTGGCATACCCACGAGTGAATTATCAATCCTAACCACACCACAAGATGAGAATAAGACTGTATCACAGAGAAGGAATATGCACCCAGATGACATCTGAATTGTCTTAATTTTAAGACAAAGTTTTGTACAGAAGTTCCAAAGATTAAAGGGAGACCTGGACTAATTGTATGTACATCAAACACCATGCTGTTAATGGAAGATTTGTTATCTTAATTCTCATTCCAAGGACACTAATAACAAGGATAAAACCTGGGCCTAGACAGGGGTACCAGGGCATGGATACAATACCTAGAGTAAGTGACTGGCACTCCTCCTGGGTGGTAGTTGCTGCAGTGTTTCTGGTCTTCACCTCACAACACCCCAGGGCGTTGTCTGCACTGTAGTTCTGTGCTATTCCCTGCATGTGCAGATTGTGGTCATCCCTCATGCACACACTCAACAACGCACCCATTCCTGCAGGCATATCAGACACTGATTATATTCCACATGTTTTAAAAATGTGTCTGTAAATCTTTTTGAGCCCTGTACGACTTCTTGATTAGAGAGACATTCACAGCAACATAAAATATGCTTACTTTGAACAGTGATCAAAGCAAAAGGATCCTGGAAGCATTGGAGTGAAATATGGTCCATGGGTGTAAGCTACTTTCAGCAATGGTATGGCTACTTTTGGGGACCTCAACAATTGTCTTAATGTGGGGAATAGAACCAAGATCTTTGTCTTGATGAGCTAATGCTTTGACCATCACCACCACCTTGAAGTGAACTGACAATTCCACACACCAGTAATACGAACTGGATATGTACTATCGGGATGCCTGAATGGAATCCAGTCAATGTACACATTTACTCCAGATTACTGATTACCTATGCTTATCAGCACATAAACACCTTAAACTAAACATATTTTTAACCATTGGAAAAAGTTCAAGTACGTCTTGTATCTCAATCTTCCCTTTTTAACCTTACCTATGAAGAAACTGGAAGAAGGCCCCACCCACATGTTGACTTGTTGCCGGCTGTCCACAGTCTCGACACCCAGGAAGGTCCTGGTGTTATCCTGCAAGTGCAGCCCAGATGCAGCATCCACAGTAGCCATGCCATTGAGGGAGATCATCACAACGAGCACCAGAACCTGAAGCTGGTGTAACAGGAGCCATGATCATGAAACAGCCCTAGCCCAATTTGTAAAATGAAATTGATTTTCTGATTGGTCCAGAGATATCAGGCACAACTGTCTTCGATAATATGATTTTTTTTAAATGTTAACATCTTTCATAATCATAGGTTTTGAAACTAATCATATTTTTACAAGGGATAAACTACAGTAATCTAAGAAACTGTAAGTATAGGCCACATAAATTGTGTTTGCAGTGATCAGCCTCTCCTGTACTATCTACTTCAATACCAACAAGAGTCAAATAAAATAAAATAAAATCGAAAATCAGTAATTTCAGCTTTTGCTCGAAAACGACTATTTGTTAAAGTCCAAAACACTAAATTGATATGAAACAGTCTAAAGTGCATTGGTCTACACATAATCTAACCATTGTTTTATACATACCATCATAACAGCGTAAGTGAAGATTGGCTTGTAATGAGTCAGGGTTGCCAACTTGGCTCTGGTGTCCGTGATACTGTGTTTGCTGTGTTGGGCAATTTCCCTCCTCAGCTCATTCCATCTCCTCCTGCCACGCCCAGCAGGGTCATGATAGTAGGCTGAAATTGGCGCATAATCGGGTCATATACCCCCATCATCATACACCTTGTCAGCTAACTATTCGTCATGTAACCACTGGTATGACGATAATAAAATATACATTAAACTGTAAACGGAAACATTTCACTGGCGTTCCAGACATTGAATGTTTTTTTGTGGTTCTGCTATTTGCCTTGTTTGTTTTCTCTCACAAATGCCTCTATATCATCATTTAACCACGACACTGCACTTAATACAGGTTTCATGACTATGTTGATAGAGAGATACGCCGCATGTTTTGTGACCATGACAAAACCGTTACGTACGTGTTTTGGGGCCATGGCAAAATACTCGCATGCATGCTTCCTGAAAATATCCCCATCTGCATGCATGCTTAAAGCCCATTCATTGCATAACATGTGAGGAGGATCTAGGGTATTTAAGGAGGGGGTCAATAAGATAACAAATACTTTATACTTTATTAGTTTTGGCAATAGTAAAAACCGTAATTTTGATATTTTGTCAATCGGAACAAAGACATGCGCATTTACATGTTTATGACACATGCATCCAATGAAAAAAACCAATAACTTTTTGGATGTTTTATACATTTAAAAAAAACCTAACCTTTTGTAGTAGTTACTTGATTGTAAACTCAGGAACACATGATAATGTTAACTACATTTTGTCGCGTCATGTATCATGACCATGTCAAACAATTCCTTCTTTCGGGAAACAATGTTTACCTTTTGCTACCTCGCCGACTTCCTCAACTGTGCGTATTTTCCACTTGTACTCGGAGACCGTTTGCTCCTTCACTTGCTCAAGACGTGTCAGTTCTGTCGCATATTCTATCTGTAGAATATTAGGAGTAGAACCCATATCATTGTGACGCATTTCAATGTTTACCATAGTTTAGGAATATCGAATCCTGATTTGTAGGAATGCATTCAAATTATGGTTCGTTCATCACTGTCAGGAATGAACGATTTGTAGTAACCCAAGGCTGATTTTCTTGTTGTTTCTTGTTTTTGCGAAAGATACTGCGAATCATCTTTCTTTTAATTTCTCTGAGCATTTAACAGAAAATGCAATTAGAGCTTTCACTTATCATAATTATACCTTGATACTAAGACAACCCCTGCTTTCTGGGGTGAAAACTACTGTGGAATTATAACAGCAAAGAAAAAGACTAACCAGATATGGCATATTAATACCTTCATGTGTTCTTATATTTATTTATCTCACCATTGCAAACATTTTGTAATGTTTGTATCCCTCGACACCCATCAAGGGTGAATCATCTTTCATTACCTCGACGTTCAACTGCAATCACATTTCATGAGTTCTGAAAGCTTATACATACATATTAAAAAATCACCTACTGCTTAAGGCATATGTAGTCATCATAATTATTATAGTATTATTGGTATTATTATTATTCCGATTAATGATAGGCGACAAACACAACATACTTCCTTTCATGTTTCGATAGTGTTACACAATGTAGAAACATGTTTATGTAACCAATGGGTAAATGTCATTATCAATGGCTCTATAGCTAAACTAAAGAAAATGTAATCGCTGGTTACCTTTTCTGCGCTGTTCGTTAAAACTCCCCTAATCAACCTCTTGGCTGACTCTGCAAAACCTAATGAAAGTCCCGACGTCTGGTACGCCATATTTGTCATTCCAAGTATTTTCTTTTCCCCTGAATTCTTTGAAGGACTATCAGCGGCGTGGTTATTTTGGTTGGATGGAATCGGACCGACTTTGTTTCTAAACCAACTATGCTTGTCACCTCCAGAATTGTTAGTGTCCTGTTGGCTGTTCTCACCAACTGAATCATCTTGATTTTTTCCAAGGCTGTCAGGAATCTGTATGGTGTTATTCTGAAAATCTGATAAAATTTTTGGTTTCAGATATATTTAAACTGCTATTTCCGTATTCGACGCATAAGTGCCCAGGGCGCTCTCAAAATTAGAAATAGGAGGCTCTTATTAGGATAATATTTTGGTGGGGGAAAAAAAACAGAGTTGCAAGTAAAATTCCGTGGTTTATGCTGACAGCCTGAAATGTTTATATAGACAGATATATTTTTCCAGAATTTAATTGCCCATAATTATGTGTGCATATAACACACGAGTGCGTATTGTATGCGAATAAGTAAGTCATTTGTACATTGATCAATCGGAAAGGGTGCTAATTGGGATTGTTCATTAGCCAATATATTAGCCGTGGGCGTGGGCGCTTATTAGAGCGGGGCGCTTATTACGTCGAATACGGTACATTCAGCAGTCTTACATTTTGAACGATTTACACTTTCCGACATTCCTTCTTGACTCACTGTTTGGCGGCTTTACGTGATGGTCGTCCGCAGCCCCCTCATACTTAACATCAGGCTGGGCAGTCATCACGTCGTTGGGTTGGTTCGAGGGATGCACTTCCCCCCGCCACTTCTGTATGTCTTTTGCAGGATGTTCTTCTGGTGAAACAAAACGAGGCATGTCATCAACAGTTTCCTCAATGCTAATCTGCTCAAAGCCATCTTCTTTAAGATCTGTGTCTGACAACCCTAGGTCCAACGCGTCCAGAAATATGTCCATATCAGCCACTTGCATCTCACACATTACAAACTCTTCCAAACTCAGGGTGGAACGTTTTACGTCAGAAGATGTCTTTGGAGTCTCAAACGAATTCTTCCTGAGATCATGTAAGTGTTGACCAATAAGACCAACAGTGGAGCACCTGAACAGTTCCTCTGAACTTCCTTCTGGTTCAAGGACCGACATGTGGGAAAGCACTGTCTCCACTTGTTTCACAAGCTTGTCTCTCTGAAATGACGTGGGTGCCAAAATACTTGGCAGCACTGCCTGTAGCGTGATGCCAAAGTCACCGGTCTGAAATGGAGGTATTCCTACTTATCAGTGGTGTCATTATAAGTATCAAGAACGGAGAGGGATACTGAACACGAAGTCAAGGTGTACAAAACATCTTGACACATGACATATGGATAAACGGAAAAATCAGCATACTTGGTATTAAGATTTTGTTAAAGGCTCATCCTGATTGATCAGAGTCAAACGTTTTACATTCAGCCTACTTCCTAAACAGAGAATGATAACCTGCAGTCAGTAGTACAGTAAACTACGTTTATAACGAACACGCTTACAACGAACTGACGGATATAACGAACTTATTTTTAGTCCCGACCATTTGTTGTATATATGCTGTATATATGCTTATAACGAACTACGGTTATTACGAACTAAAATTAGTGGTCCCCTCGAGTTCGTTATAACCGTAGTCTACTTCAATCAATCCGTAATTCAATCTCATACCATGCACTCTTCAAACTAAAATTTTATTTTTTTTTAAAAAAACAGCCACCAGCTATGGATAGTTATTATGTATGCAGCAATCTGTAATTTCTCATTTCATACTAATCTACGCACGATGAATTCATTTTGTGATCATTGTTTAACACAATTACCTGAATTCTCCTCTCAAAATGACTTTTCCAGGACTTAAGCTCCCTATCATCTGCAGCCCAAAAGAATGGTCGAACAGGTTGAAGAAAAAAGGAACCAGCTGATTTTGATTTCTCCCACATGATTGTACAACCCTCCTGCTATACTGCTGAAGATAAAGCAAGAAAGAAGTTTAAGAAATTAGGTGCGTGTATGGTATATGTACAGAATATATGCCGATACTGAAACAGTAATATATAAATGCATGGCGGAACTATTGCAGATTCTGTGGCATTGGTTAACGTAAACGTGTATCTAGCTGGGAAAGCCATTCATCGATGATGTAACTGACACCACTGCAGTTGTAAAATTTGATAACGTTGAAGTAAAATGAAGCCAACGTCGGGCCTTCCTGCTCGGATTCAGACAGCTCGTAAACGGTTACTGACAGTCTTTGCAGATGTGAGACGTACTGCTAGAATTTGTGTTGCAGTGTACGTTGCAGTGGGTGTCCTGTTTCGAAGGTGAAGGACTCGGATTTAGCGATCCTCGGTTAAGTTGTGGTGTTGCTGGGTCGCTGGATCTTGTACGATCGATCACCAGTGGTGCCCATGTTGCCAATGTAGTACCCAAAGTCAGGAAAGTGTACTCTTGGCAACGTTAAAATCCCTTACCACTGATGCTTGTGATAAACTAGCTTCGAGCTAACCCATAACGTTATTTGTCGTACCAATATCGATACCAATGACGATTTTCAAAAATTAACTGAATGAAAACATGTGTCATAAATAAGAAATCCGCTATACATTTCTGACTGAAAAGGATGCATGTAAATACCATCATATTAACTCCATAAAAAACAATAAAACCGTTTTATGACACTTTATCAGTAACATGTAGAACATGTAGACTTCATTAGTGGTCAGCGACAGCGATTACATGTCTATTTGCTAACACATTAGACCTGGCGGTGAAGGAATGTAGAGGTGTAGGTGTGTGTGTGTGTATGTGTTTGTGTGTGTGTGTGTGTGTGTGTGCGTGCGTGCGTGCGTGCGTGCGTGCGTGCGTGCGTGTGTGCCGCACTCAACACGAGTCAACAGTATTCTAGCTATTAGACGGTGTCCTGCACATAATCGATTCTGGATCAGACAATGTAGTGACCGATATTATGAGCAACGACCCATGTCGTCGTGGTACGTTGACACCCCATCAACCAAGTCACAGAACCGAAGAACACGATCCATTAAGTCCCTCTTACGACCACCATAGGTTGCTAGGGATTTCCCACGGGTCCCCACTTAGTTACCTCTTACGACTAGCAGTGGCGTGCTTGGGATACATTTTAGCCCGTGTACCGGGGAATGAGTGAGTACTAGCGACCAGTTATCGCCGAGGACCAATTATCGCCAATTCCCAGTTATAGAGCGCACGTGATCGCATCTCATGTTACTTTTGCTCGTTTGCATTAGAAGAGGTAAATGTTATTCCAAAATAATGAATAAAACGGACTCTTGATAATATTTATTAAAAATCAATCATAATCACTTTGCTCAAATACAACTTCAAAAAAGACACGCGGGCGGTGTCACGTCACGTAATATTATTATATATATATATATATATATATACATACATCGCGAAATCCATAGTACATAGTGTAAGGATAAGCATGTGTCGATCGAATTGGGGGAATACTGGTATTTGTCAGTTTGCAGACGACAAATTTATAGTAGCATTTTATTTTGATCAATTATAAATTGAGTGCCATACCTGAGGTACTAAAACAATGTATAACTGAGGCGGTGCATGTGATCAACATGGCACGTGCTCTTAAAACCATGGCGATATTATAACTGGACAGAAAGTCAACGGGAAAGTTCTATTTCCACTGTTTTGATTCAACTGAAACCAACTGAATCTTATTCCACGGACAGAAATTTGGGCATTTGCTCATATTTTCACAAAAAATAAAGTTATTGGTACAGTAAACTTTGTACACGGAATATATCAGCAATAAAATGAAAAATATGGCTAAAACAGGTCGGTGACAAGTATGATTTAACAGTGGGTTTGCCTTATTCCAGTCATATCACAGTTGGGGGACACCAAAAATGGGCATCACACACGCAAAGACCTGGATAAAACCCAATCAATCTGGATAGATCTACAAATCTAATCCAACAATAGTTATTACGCATTCTACCATGAATTTGGAATTTACTCGATTCTGATTGGTCAATCAGAGGCTATTAAATCACAATAAACCCCCCTCTGATTGAAACAGCTGGTTTGACGGCCGCATCACCGCGGAAGCTAAAGTTGATAGAATAGTACTGTTTTCAGTCATTGTCGGTAGGCACATTTAAATAATTATATCTACAATTACAGGTTACAAAATGCACAGATGCGGTTACTACAATATTCAAAGGATGTGTGGCAATACATTTCGTGCAGAAAAATACGACAGAAATCAACAAAGGGAATGTCTTTACATTTTGGAGACAACAGAGAGCTTGGAATTTTGGCGCTTTTCTATATACGACTGTGACGTCATATCTTTTGCGTCACAATGAGCGATATGACGTCATAATGGTGACGTGCGATGTAGAGCGAAAGCCTTGCAAAGCTTGCTTTGTTTTCTTTAGGGATGCCCACCTCATGTTAGCTTACCAAGTTGCCGTGATTATATACTTTCAATGCCTGTCATATGTTCGAGCGAAGTATTACGGTGTAAACAAACTGCTTGAGGATATACAGCACCATATTTTGTTCGGTGATTCCGCAATTCAGATCGATAACCCACTCAAAACACTGAACTCAACCCATGCCGCTTCACTCAGTATATTTGCTAACACCAAAGAGTTCGCGTTTTATTTAGTCATGGTAGAATGGAGATAAACATACTGTGTTTTCAATGTAGAGCTAGGTTACCTATAGATTTAACTGCTCTAAATTTAACATTTGAAACCTCACGCTGTGCGTTCGGTTCTAAATTCAATATAGCGGGGTTAAATCTACAGGTAACCTAGCTCTACATTGAAAACACAGTATGTTTATCTCCTAATTCTACTATGAATTTGGAATTTACTCGATTCTGATTGGTCAATCAGAGGCTATTAAATCACAATAAACCCCCTCTGATTGAAACAGCTGGTTTGACGGCCGCATCACCGCGGAAGCTAAAGTTGATAGAATAGTACTGTTTTCAGTCATTGTCGGTAGGCACATTTAAATAATTATATCTACAATTACAGGTTACAAAATGCACAGATGCGGTTACTACAATATTCAAAGGATGTGTGGCAATACATTTCGTGCAGAAAAATACGACAGAAATCAACAAAGGGAATGTCTTTACGTTTTGGAGACAACAGAGAGCTTGGAATTTTGGCGCTTTTCTATATACGACTGTGACGTCATATCTTTTGCGTCACAATGAGCGATATGACGTCATAATGGTGACGTGCGATGTAGAGCGAAAGCCTTGCAAAGCTTGCTTTGTTTTCTTTAGGGATGCCCACCTCATGTTAGCTTACCAAGTTGCCGTGATTATATACTGTCAATACCTGTCATATGTTCGAGCGAAGTATTACGGTGTAAACAAACTGCTTGAGGATATACAGCACCATATTTTGTTCGGTGATTCCGCAATTCAGATCGATAACCCACTCAAAACACTGAACTCAACCCTTGCCGCTTCACTCAGTATATTTGCTAACACCAAAGAGTTCGCGTTTTATTTAGTCATGGTAGAATGGGGGATAAACATACTGTGTTTTCAATGTAGAGCTAGGTTACCTGTAGATTTAACCGCTCTAAATTTAACATTTGAAACCTCGCGCTGCGCGTTCGGTTCCAAATTCAATTTAGCGGGGTTAAATCTACAGGTAACCTAGCTCTACATTGAAAACACAGTATGTTTATCTCCTAATTATTCAAAATCAGTGTCTTCAAACGTTGATTTCACATTCACAGTTCACATTTTCATAATATTCGAGAAGACGTGAGAGGTGAGTCCGAGACAAATTTATCTGTTTTTTAGGATTTAACGACAATCATGGTATAATGACTTCAATGCCTTCTTGGGGATTGTTGTACAGTAACCTGTTGGTAACCGACTTCAATTCGCGCGACAAAATGTTAGGTTTAAGTTGATGTTTTCATATAATCAAGCAGGTGAGGTACAATCAAAGGTGATGACTGGCAGGACTCCCACCTGGGTCAAACTTCAACTGGTAGTCTTATTTAAATTCCGAATTGCACACATGCATACATAACAGATGCTATTGGCTAGAAACATTCGAAATTATACATTATACGGCGGATATTAGGCCCCCTAGCAGTAGATCTATCAAGATCCAAATTCGTGGCAATTTTCAAACTGCAAATCAATATTTAATGTTTAAAGTTTTATAGAACGTTAAATCAGCGGTAGAAAATAACAGTTTTAGTCCACTAGTCCTTATAATGATGACATATAGCAAAACCGTTAAAAAGGGCAAATTTCTACTAGCCTAGTTCTTATGATACCTTAACTTTTGGGCAGTTTGGCAAGGACTATAGAACTAGTGCCAATTTCTAACGCTGCAAATGCTAATCTATCAAGGGCATTTGGGGTTAGAAAAGGGACCCAACTACCTGATTGTCGTACTAGGTGACAATCCAAATAAGTATCGGGTGGACAGACCCAGCGACTTTAATGATTGCGCGACATCGTGTCCCATTATTTACAGGCCGCTGTCACGTACATAGCTAGAATATTGACGGATGCGACGCTAAACAGAAAACTAAATGTGTTACAATAAATCATAAATAAAGTTTTAAAAGTAAAACTTTCTCTCCAAGCAAATTAGTAGCAATGTTCTATGAGAGAGTTGGAAAATATAAGAGAGAATCTCACCCTAGCTCTCTGTCAGTTATTTCTCCCTGGGTGTAGAAATGAGATCGCGAAGACCATTTTTCTTTACTGAAATAACACCGAAAGCAGTCGTAGTCAAACTGTGAAATGGGGCTATTTGAAGGCGAGGTGTTCAATTCAAATTACCAATGAGTAAAACTCGTTCACCTTTTCTTTCTGCAGGCATTTCAGACACTCTCTAAGTAACACTCCTGTTCGACGATGCATGCAGTCTTCTTTTCTGTAGCAGACGAACCATTCAACCGGAAGTGCACTTGCCTGTTAACTTCTAAAATACGACATCTCTAAAAAAACGGAAAATAGTAACATTGTGTACTAGTTATAAACGTTGTCTTTTTAAACTGCACACATAAAACATGAAAATTCTTATATAAATAACAAACATAACCACTCAATATTATTCTTTTATTATTTTGTAAAAACAATACAAGAATTTAATATCAGAAATATATATAACAATTAACAAATCATAGAAATGCATGGAAGAAACATTGAGAAATGATATACAAATGATTAAGTTATGACAATGTCCTAATGAATCTCAAACAAAACACAGGAAATGTTCATACCAGTTATATATATATATATACACTCTTTCAGTAAGAAGCTGGTTTCAGTTATACGGAAATTCGTTTATACTGACGAATTGTGAAATGACGCAAGTGTCCGTATAAACGAGGCACGACTGTATATATATATATATATATATATATATATATATATATATATATATGATATATATATATGATATATATGTGTGTGTGTAAGTCTCATTAATGATTTTGTGGAAAATGTTCCCAAGAAATATATATTGCCTCGTATGAAATGTTTTAAATGCAAAATAAATGTTACAAGTCGTTATCCAGTACAACATTTGGATTTAAGATAAAATATTCTTGGTTCCTAGGCACTGCCCCAGAGGACCACAGCTCTCTTGACACTACCGTACTTGTTTTAGGGGGGAAATGAGAAATGTCTTTCTCACCAACACAAATAAGAGGGTGCCCACCCCCTCTTGCCTTGTATCCCATCTCTGAACTGCGAATGTTTCTTAACACCAATCTCAAAAGCATTGAAAAAAAGGTGCAATCTGATGTTAAATTATTGAAAAAATATCAAAAAAGAAAAATATCTGAAGGAAACTTGTACACCAATATTTCAGCTATATGACAGCGGTCTGTAACTAATAGAGTCTGGACCAGACAACCCAGTGATTGGCATTAATTCAAATAATATGATACGATGACATGCATCAACCAAGTCACTAGCCTGACCATCCAATCAAGTTAGTCGGCTGATATGACAAGCATAGGTTGCTGGGAACTAGTATTCTTACCCAGAATTCCCACAGCTATGTAAACATATATACAAACCTACATGTCATGGCTCTAAGTCTGACTGCTTGGTGTTGTCATCTGACGACTAAATACATGAAGAAAGTGACTTTTGTGTGATGCATTTTAGACAAGAGGTTGTCTATTAAAGGGTGTGTGAGTGCGCATCCTTGTACTAGTCCGGATTAATACATAGTGCTGATTTTATAGTGCTAGCCCACTGAGATACCATTCCGCAGTTTTACATGAACACTCCGACCAGCCCTTATTTTAGCCCCTTAAATCTGAGCACCAGCAGGGTAACAAGTACCATCTATTAACATCTTTTGGTATGACGCAGCCAGGGATCAAACCCCATCTCAAGGCGGACTCTCTACCACTAGACCACAGAGGCAGTCGGGAAAGTGTCTGACATGCACCAACATTTTCTGCAATGGCAGTCATTTTGAATGATCCATTTTCAAGATGAAAGCCATACGTATAACTGGAAGCCTACAGAATATGTTGAATGAATAACTATACTGATATGAGCAGTAGTTTTACAAGAAGATTCTGTGCTAACTCATGAAATGACACATGTTAGATGAAAACCTGTTACATAAACTCACATGGACAATGTCAACGTGAGCCATAGATCACCAACCAAATTACCTCAAGCAAATCCAAATATGTACATTTCATTTATCAACATTTGGTCTCCGTAACATTTATTTCGAACACTGAAGAGTGAGTGAGTATGGTTTTATGCCGATTTTAGCAATATTCCAGCAATATCACAGCGGGGAACACTAAAAATGGGCTTCACACATTGTACCCATGTTGGGAATCGAACCCGGGTCTTCGGCGTGGCGAGCAAATGCTTTAACCACTAGGCTACCCGACCGCCCCCTAACACTGAAGAAAGACACATATGATTACAGTCTTATGTGTGTAACAAGCATTGAGAACCATCCAATTCCTGCCCACAGGAAGATATTGACATAACAGTGAAGCATGTTGCCTCATTGCAACTACACTGTATAATCAACAGACACGACCCACTGATACCGAAATATAGTCAAAAGCAAAATTAACTGTTTTTATTCCTGATAGTGGGACTTTGTTTAGAAGACTTACTGGTTTATTTGCATTTAGTTTGTCATAAACCCATAATTTTTTTTACATTTTTAACTTTATAGAATTAAAATGATAAATTTAATTTAAAAAAAATTAAAATTAAAAATTTCAAATTCCACCTGACAAATTTGGGGGTGAGATGTATTAATTCCCTAATAGAAATGTACTGCAGAGAAATATGCATTCAAACAACATCCAACGACCATGATGAATGTTTCCAAGTGATTTGTTGCATGCACTCAAGAATTATCAGTCAGTGAAGAAAAACAATTCACATCATCATAAATATGATTTTTTCAGTTATCAATAAACATATCAGATCAGTTCATTTTGCCTTTGAGTTAACAGACTAAAAAAATCCTGTTGAGGACACCCACTGAAATTTACTAGCTGAGAGATTTATGGATGAGTGACCATTTTGTCTTGTGTGTTAGTGAGATGAAAACAAACTCTGTACAAACAGCAAGTGTTTAGGATGTGTGCATCTTCCCGAGGCAAGGGATTAAACTGACTCAGATTAGACAATAGGTGGGACATAGAAGGGACATAACTCATTATAGCCACTGGTAGCGCTACGATCAAGCCCAGAAATTCCAGCCTTATTCGGCAAGGGTGAAAATTGGACTTTTACAGTCCTATAAACTCCCTTGCCTTGGGAAGATGGGATGTGTGCTGGTATGATTTTGTTATCACTGCACAACACAAACTGTGGAGAGTTCTAATGATATGACATCAGTAAACATATCGCAAATATGAAGCAGCAAAGCTGAGCTAAAAAGCTAAAAACAAATAATCGATCCGTTATAACTTATCGCAAATGTGAAGCAGGAATGCTGAGACCCAGGCCTAAGATTCAAATAATCAATACAACGTTATTTATCAAGCTACAAAGAATTTTATTTCAATTTTACAAATAGCTTTTTGCTTATGCAGGGAAGCAAATAAGCACTAGCCTGCTAGCCCGGACCAGTTTGGTAATGTTAAGGTATCCTAAGGGCTAGTAGAATTTCAATAATTTTGGGGGGTATTGCTATATGTTATCACTGTTGAGACTAGTGGTCTTTCTTGGCTAATTTCTATCCCTGTTATGGTAATTGTGTTTAAGAGTAGTGCCACAACATTTTTTCAACTATGACGTCATAGCACTGTATGATGTCATCAATGGAATATTGTTTTCTGCACATTTTTCTATCCATTTTCTCAAAAAGAATCACACTAACTTAGGAAAAGTTAAATATGTATATAAATGAATATTGACAGCCTTAATGCTCAGCAATGTAATGACAACAAAATGGTCGCTCCAAGAAATAAAAAGACACCTTAGATGCCGATATATAGTGCTAGCCCACTGATATACCATGCTGCAGTTTAACATGAATACCCCACTCACACACAGTATACTGACTCCGAGCTGACCAGCCCCTTAATGTCGAGCACCAGGCAAGTACCATCTATTAACGTCTTACAGTATGACGCTGCCATGGATTGAACCCTGGACATTTCACTCTCCAGGCGGACCCCTACCACTAGACCAGAGAGGCAGGCTAGCACAATAAAATCGGCATTAGTCTGGACATGAACAAGCAGTCACACACCCACACCCACACCCCCACACCCACCCCCACACCCACACACACACACACACATATGCATGCAATAAAAGTGCAATCCTCAATTCACCTCACCAACTCAAAGTGTTCGGCCCAAATAATATGAGTTAATATATACCGCAGGTTACAAGCTTTGTGATGAAAAACATGCCACTAAGAACAGAAGAAATTCACTGAAACATTACCGGTATAATTACTCCCACTGATTAAAAGATTCAATTTCAAGGAGTACCTATAAAGCACCTCTGTCTTTTTCCTCTCGTCTTCAAACAGGCAAAACTGACCTTTCTGTCTTGGAATCGCCATTTTGGGGTATGGAATCTGACAAAGTTAACAAGTTTGGTTTTAGTATGATAAGCATCCTTAGTTTTTGGCACAGCCCAATATCCGTTTTTCATATGCTCTCTTTTTGAGGAACTATTTTATTCTGTGATACAGCTGATTGTTGTATGGCTGTCAGTGTAAACATGAAGTCACATACTAAATAAAACTGTGTATAGATCTAGGCCTACAAAAATAGTGACATTAAAAAACTATAAGAACTGACTTTCACTTTGTGTGAGTTCTTTGGAGTATGAACCTTTGCAGAGTGGGGGCCAAACATTGTTCCGACATTCTTACAGTTTGGCCCATACTGAAGGTTCCTACTCCAATGAACTCACAAAGTGAAAGACAATTCTTATAATTGTTTATATCGGTACTTTACACCTCGAGGGATGTCGTACACAATTTCAATTAGTATGTGTGACTTCATGGTTACACTGACAGCCATACAACAACCCGCTGTAATGTGGAATAAAATAGTTCCTCAAAAGGAGAGGTGACATGAGCATATGTATGTTCAACTTGCTCTGCAGGGAACATCTCTTGTAGTTTGGTTATAACAAATAGATCCAAACAATATCATTACATGATCTCTTAAGAACCTCGTCAGTGAGTCACTGTAACAGCGTGTCGTAATACATTTACCAGTACATCAAATACAGGATGTCAAAATGGCCGACGTGATCAATGACGGGAGAGATTTTTGAAGTTGTTAATGAACCTGTGGAGATTACAAGTGTTTGTCACCATTGATCAATTGGCCGATCATAGCAAGGTGACTGAAACAATGTGCCAAATAGATACTTAGGTAAATTTATAGACTGCTGTCGGCTTTTACTTGTCAGTGCAGACACACATCGAGTCCACAGTTTGGATGCGAATTTATTCATTTTGTTCACTATAATGGGTCATAGCGAGGAAATTCGTGAGGACATTCAGTCAAACTCTCTGACTTATCCCAGTGTATGCTAAAGTGCTAAGTTCAATATTAAACTGAGTGAGTGAGTATGGTTTTACGCCACTTGTAGCAATATTCCGGCAATATCACAGCAGCGATATTGTACCAATCAATATTAAAGGATGTATGAATAGAAATAATGCTTGTGAGTGTATTTGTGCTGGGCATTTCCTAGGGGTTGCCCAAGGAATGTGGAAGTAGCCTGTCAGTGGTTTGTCATTTCAAGAATACAGTCAAAATGTGTCGTTCATACACTTATGAACATCAGTTTCACTGTCATTTGACCGACCTCTCGTCCAATGGAAAAGCTGTATATCATGTAAACTTCACGTTGAACAATTATTAAGTGATGACTTCACATGTGCTGCTTTTGGAATAAGCATAATAAGTAATCATGTTAAGTATACATTCAACAAACAAACATAAACATTATCACAATAGTCATGACATTAGCGTGTGTCCCAACAGAATAACAAGCTCATTGGCCACGGAATGTGAGTAAAGAAAATTGTTTTGTGACTCATGGCCAAGAACAATTATTCGGTGTCCCATGAATTCTAAACAATTGTTTGAGGACCCATGACTTTGAAGCAATTGTTCTGGTGTCCTATGATTTCGGAACAATTGTTTTGAGGACCCAAGACTTTGGAACAATTGTTTTGTGGTCCCGTGACTCTGGAACAATTGTTTTGTGGTCTCATGACTTCGGAACAATTGTTTAGCTATCCCATGATTTCCAAACTATTGTTTTGAGGACCCATGACTTTGGAACAATTGCTTTAGTGTCCCATGATTTCCAAACAATTGTTTTGAGGACCCAAGACCTTTGAAAAATTGCTTTGAGGACCCATGACTTTTTGAACAAATATTTTGAGGACCTGTGACTTTGGAACAATTGTTTTGTGGTCCCATGACTAGAAACAATTATTCTGAGGTTTCCTTACTCAACTTAATTCATGGCCCTCAATTATCCAGGGTATAATATTTCCATTCTATCATCTTAGCTTTGTTTTCGTCCTGATTCAAAAGGCAGGAAGCTAGAAGCTGTCCAGTCAAATAACTCTCACATGCACAAGACACTGTATGCAAAGTAAGAGAAGGGAGAGATGTCAAAGGTGACGTCACTTATAAAACCATAATACAGTTGCATCTCGGTCCAGGGTATTTATCAAAATAGAATGGAGATGTAATACACTGGACAATTGTGAATGATGGGGTACCTGGAAGTCTGAAAAACAATGATTAAGGTCCCTCTAAAACTTAAATATGTAGCATTAAGACAAAAAAGTATGAAACGGTTCATGAAACTTTGACTAGATAAATCTCTCTAGTATATCCCTGTAACTCACACTGTGCACACATTCAATCAGTCAGAATCTCCATTATTAAATGTTTACTTGAGGCATGGACACCATGTTTATCATGTTTATCATCCTTTGTCACACTTATATATAGTAATACAATACATAGCACCACTTAATGTAGCAATATAGAACATATCACTTTATACAGTAATATATTACATGTATTGCGATACTTATACACTTACTGTAGAAATATGAAAGAATTAGGTGGTGCTTAACTCCTTTTGTGTAGTATATATCAAAGAGTCAGTGATTTCAGAAATTTGTCAGTATCTACTTTGGACATCACACTTTGGAATGTAGGTTAAAAGATCAAGGCAGGTTGACGACCCGTTTTGCCCCCTTGAAATGTGAATGTTAAACATCAAAGAAAACCTTGAAACATTGGTAGACTGTAGACAATGTAGACTGATTTGGCCGCAATATTACTGACTGTGGCATGAAACAATTTGCTCACTGAACGTATTCTTCACAATCACAACACTTCTTATCCAAATGGAACTACCTCTGCTCTCACACTGAAGTCAATCTACCTCTGTCTGATAATGACATGGCATGCATATTAATTCATAAACTTCAATAATATATTAATGAAGTTTTATGAATTTTTAAGCCTAAACAAAATACAAAAAAATACATAACATGATGTTTAAATATTCATGGATAATAAATGTACAATGCATAAAACAAACAAATGAATTTTGACTTTAGACGTTTATGAAGAACCTGTCATTTAAAAAAAATATTACAACCAGCTCCTTGATTTTGAAATAAAAAAATAATGAAGAATGAATTAATTTGTCATGGCCTAATCATAATCAAACAACAGATTATCACAGCCTCATTGTTGACTACATGAAAAACGTTTCCGTGTGGACAGCAGTCATGGCACACATAGTCTAGTCGTTTGAACCTCCAGTTCAACACATGAGCAAAGTGACTATACAATTCTACAATATTGCTACACAGTTTTCATGGCAGAGTCCATTTCGTGTAAAGGTAGGAGAGGTGCAGGAGGGGACCTGAGCGGACCTTGAAAGTCGGTGTGCAGATCAAGCGTGGCGGGAATTTCTGTATACGGTAGATGACAGTTCTGTCTTGACAGCGGAGGGTAGTATTGTCTGTATACTAAATACGCTATACTGAGTCCCACCAGCGAACCCACAGTTACATCTGAAACACAAAAATATTTTTGAAAAAAAATGAGCATGATCAAGTAAGGAAGCCGAGACTTAATTCCCTTTGTCTTAAACTGATATCAGTTCTGTGGGTAAGTTACCTTCTTTTCATAGTACGTTGCTGCGTTTCATCATGGACTGCTATTAAATGGGCTTCACACATTGTACCAATGTGGGGAATCAAACTGGGTAACCACTAGCCTACCCTGCTGCCCCAAATAGTAAGTTAAAATATGTGAAAAACCTAAACGACAAAATGTGTGCGTGTTGAGATGTTGCCTCACCCTGCCAGTGGTGGTGATAGTCGGCCGTGCGGGACACGGCGATGAGTGCTGCCCACAGCAGGGGGAGCACCACACAGCACAGCTTCAGCCCACTCCCCCGCCCCTTGCTGCTGAACATGTGGAACTTCCCCGCCACATAGAAGGCGATGAAGGCAAGGCTGGAGAAGGCAACTGCAAACATACAGACAGACATGGGGGTAGTGAGTGTTTGTTTGTTGTTTGTTTGTTGTTTAATGCCACACTCAGCAATATTCCAGCTATATGATGGCAGTCTTTTAATAAGCCGTCTGGACCAGACAATTGAGTGATCGACATCAGTAGCATCGATCCACGCAATTGGGATACGATGACATGCATCAACCAAGTCAGTGAGTCTGACCACACGATCCCGTTAGTCGCGTCTTACGACAAGCGTGAATCTCTTTGTACATATATAACTCTGTGCATTATTGAATTTGTTTTATGTTATCTTGTTCTGGTAAATACCCAATTCCATTGGATATCAAATTGAGATCAGTTGGTGTATTTTCACCTATACTGATATGTATCTTAGTAAAAAGTCTCTTTGTTCAGTAAACAAGCCACATTAAAAGAATAAACTATATTCATTTTCACATTTACCACTTAAACATTCTGCTGTGTCTTTAATATCATAATTTAACTGACTCACCTTATGTCTTAGCTTAGTGTGTATAATATTATGTATATGTCCAAAGGAGAAGTTCGATGGGACCTTGGGCTTATTTTGACTTAAAAGAATCTAAAAATGTTCAAGTTCTTTTATTTAATGGTATGGTGTATCCTCTCCTCAACATTAATCAAGTGAGTCAAATTCTTATCGTACAAGATTAATGAAATATGTCCATAGCAAACTGCTAAGAGAAAATGAAAACTTATTGTTGATCATAATCATGTAAATTATTTCTAAATTGTATTAAATTAACGAGACAACAAACCAGACAGTGTTTGATAGTTGCAAAACGCTAATTGCAGTAATGAAACGAAAGCATCACCAGATGTTACTCATCTTCTCGAGGCAAGAGCGTCCACTAGCCTTTATATCAAAGTTGTGTTTTCACCCTTGCTACATCAAGCCCACTTTCCTGTGCTATCGATAGTCCAATCAGAGAACGTTCCACAAAATCAACATCCACGACTGGTACACCTTCGTATGAAAGTGATTTACCGCTGCCTGTCTTTGTTGACACGAGTATGTCTTTTTTATCTTTTAAACCCCCAACGATTGTCTATGTTTTTGTGTCAGGGATGAAATCGTGAATGTTTTCGTTATCTGATCAACTAGGTACTCGCCATCTTTGTGAAGCCAGCCGAGATGTAAACAACGATCTGATTGGATATCGTGTTTTCATTACAAGGGGCGCAACTCGTGATCTACGTGCGCCAGGGTTGAGCCAAGAAAAGTGGGCTTGATGTGGCGAGGGTAGAAACTAGGCTTTGATATAGGCTAATGGACATGCTGGCCTCGGGGAGAAGGATGCTACCATGTTGTCTGCATTACATGGAGATGATTTCGAATTTTAGATTCAACTTGACTGCATTTTATGTTTCTTCTCACTGAATAAAATAATGACTACTAACTGAAGCCCCAAATCTTACTTACTTCTGACTATTCTGCCCAGATCCCCAACAAGTTTCCTCTGAACATTACAATATTGACAGGTGAGCTATGGACCTACATGACGAGTGACCGCTGACGACCCATTCTGCCTAGATCCCCAACAAGTCTCCACTGAACATTACAATATTGACAGGTAAGCTATGGACCTACATGACGAGTGACCGCTGGGGAAGCTCTTCCTGCCCTCAATGATGGTCTGCATGTTCCCGGTACACACCATGTCCGCACTGACCGCCCCCTCAGGGAAACACCGTTCAATGTAGTCAGGACGAGGCCTGGAAATTAGGTCCTTTAAGTCATGACATAGGCAAAGTTAGTTTCATAAAGATCTGGCTCTTCGAAAAACTCTCTACCAGGTCGAAACAAAATAAAAACATTTCTCTTACGTCAATGTTTTTACATTTATTTGACATACCTTCCAACACCAAGTTTTATACAATTTGTAATGGATCCCGAGAGAAATATAGACAGGAACACAGCTGGAACATATCAGAAGACAGATATGGTTAAATTAACACATCTTAAATACAGCAGCACATGAATGCAAAATCATCATTATAAATGCAACACTAAAAGCTTGTTAACATGCAATAAGTCTTCAAGAATATTTTTTGTTAAAGTTGATTTTCTATATAATCATATCTATATTTATGATACCGATTTTTCACAACCAAAAAATATTTTTTGTTACTTTTGTTTATATCTTTTAAGATTTTTCAAACATGAGACTACTTTTTTAGTCGCAAACACAAGGGGTGGTGACCTGAATTTACGTTTCAAGGTTTTACATTTGTAATGAAATAATTTTATTTTCCGGGTAGACAACTACACAAAAAGTATATAAAAAAACAGGATATTCCATGTGTCTCATGAAATATCCTGTTTCTCTCATCTCGTGACAGGGGAAAAGGAGATATCCTCTATATACTTTACCCAGGAGGCCTTGCACTAAGTCTTCAGCATTCCTCCTCACCAGATAAAATAAACCCATCACGACCACAGGTGTTGCCAGCACTGTCCACTGAAGAGAGAAGCATACGGTGCTTGAGGTGAGGTGAGGTGAGGTGAGGTGAGGTGAGGTGAGGTGAGGTGAGGTGAGGTTGGGTTTGACATGCATGCTTGCTGCTAGTACTTGACCGGACTGTTGCCGATTTATAGTGCTAGCTCACTGAGATACCATGCCGCAGTTTAGCATTAAAATCATGACTCAGACACAGTATACTGACTCCGGGCCGACCAGTCCTTGTTTAGCCCCTAACTGCCGAGTGCCAGACAGGGTAACAACAAGTTTGTTTGTTTGTTTGCTGTTTAACGCCGCACGCAGCAATATTCCAGCTATATGACGGCGGTCTGTAAATAATCGAGTCAGGACAATCCAGTGATTGACAACATGAGCATCAATCCAAGCAAATTGGATACTTTCTGATCCCGTTAGTCGCCTCTTACAACAAGCATAGTCGCCTTTTATGGCAATCATGGGTTGCTGAAGACCTATTCTACCCTGGATCTTCACGGGTCGGTAACAACAAGTACAAGCTTTTAATATCTGTTGGTAGGGCGCGGCCTGGGATCGGACCGGACCCTGGACCTCCCGCTCTCCAGGCTGACACTCTACCACTAGACCATGGAGACGGTCCAACCTCCAAACCACCTGACCGCCTGACCACCCAACCGCCTGACCAATATTTCCCAATATTACAGTGATATCACTAAAAAATGTAAATTTTTGTTGTGTCCATTGTAATTCCTGCATTCTGATTAGCTGAATTGGTCACGTATGATTGCATTCCTTTCCCAATGAACGTACAAAATTAAGCCATGCTCGACGAAGCGCACAGTCAAGGAAATTCCCTTTTGGTTAGCTTGTATGGTCATGACATTTGGTAAAATTCATGCCTATTCATTGTTCAAACTAAACTTTGAAACCGAAGGCTGAGAAGGTATGAAATGCGGTTTCCTACAGTTTGCACATCAATTTTTCAATTCCTACTTCAATGAACCGAAAAAATCCAAAGTTAATCCTTTGGTTTCCAAACATTTGCATATGCAGTATTTGTACCGTGGAATCTACTCCCCGAGGTGAGCACACAATCTTCATCCAAAAGCCACTTAAAACCAAGCTTTTCAAGCTCTGTTACTGACCACTGTATCTAATGTAAAGCAGCCCGTGAAGATTCCGGGGTAGAATAGGTCTTCAGCAACCCATGCTTGCCGTAAAAGGTGACTATGCTTGTCGTAAAAGGCGACTAACGGGATCGGGTGGTCAGGCTTGCTGACTTGGTTGATGCATGTCATTGATCCCAATTGCGTGGATCGATGCTCATGATATTAATCACTGGATTGTCTGGTCCAGACTCGAATATTTACAGACCGCCGTCATATAGCTGGAATATTGCTGAGTGCGGCATTAAACAACCAACCAACCAACTAATGTAAAGCTGTGAGCTTGCATGATTTGAAGCATTGCTAATGTCCATTATTATAGTGTTATTATCTTACTACAAGCATGGGGTACAATTTTGACCTCAAGAGGAGCTCTCATAATGGTAGATGTCAAGAAATTAGAGCAAACAGGCACCACTAGTGTTAAACAGGCACCACTAGTGTCAAACAGGCACCGCTAGTGTCAAACAGGCACCACGAGTGTCAAACAGGCACCGCTAGTGTCAAACAGGCACCATTAGTGTCATTCATGCACCACTCGTGTCAAACAGGCACCTCTAGTGTCAAACAGGCACCACTAGTGTCAAACAGGCACCGCTAGTGTCAAACAGGCACCACTAGTGTCAAACAGGCACCGCTAGTGTCAAACAGGCACAACTAGTGTCAAACAGGCACCACTAATGTCAAACAGGCACCATTAGTGTCATTCATGCACCACTAGTGTCAAACAGGCACCACTAGTGTCAAACAGGCACCATTAGAGTCATTCATGCACCACTAGTGTCAAACAGGCACCTCTAGTGTCAAACAGGCACCACTAGTGTCAAACAGGCACCGCTAGTGTCAAACAGGCAACGCTAGTGTCAAACAGGCACCTCTAGTGTCAAACAGGCACTGCTAGTGTCAAACAGGCACCACTAGTGTCAAACAGGCACCACTAATGTCAAACAGGCATCATTAGTGTCATTCATGCACCACTAGTGTCAAACAGGCACCACTAGTGTCAAACAGGCACCTCTAGTGTCAAACAAGCACCACTAATGTCAAACAGGCACCACTAGTGTCAAACAGGCACCACTAGTGTCAAACAGGCACCTCTTGTGTCAAACAGGCACCGCTAGTGGCAAACAGGCACCACTAGTGTCAAACAGGCACCACTAGTGTCAAACAGGCACCCCTAGTGTCAAACAGGGACCGCTCGTGTCAAACAGGCACCGCTAGTGTCAAACAGAACTCTACCCATAACAAATATCCTGGGTAGTAGCTGGGTGTTTTGGGGAATCGGTACAACCACATCTCCTCCGGCTGAATCTTCCTCTCAAAGGGAACAGCATCATCAGTGATCCTGGAAGTAAAGAAATGCTTCTGTAAACAGAGAGTCTCATCTGAGTGTCTTTTGATATAAAATATATCAACATGTGTTGATAAAAGTGGATTTTTTCCACTTCTATCACCAACCTCACCTGCATACACCTGCCTCACCTGCATACACCCATCTCACCTGCATACACCCACCTCACCTGCATACACCCGCCTCACCTGCATACACCCACCTCACCTGCATACACCCGCCTCACCTGCATACACCCGCCTCACCTGCATACACCCACCTTCCCTGCATACACCCACCTCACCTGCATACACCCACCTCACCTGCATACACCCGCCTCACCTCACCTGCATACACCCACCTCACCTGCATACACCCGCCTCACCTGCATACACCCGCCTCACCTGCATACACCCACCTCACCTGCATACACCCGCCTCACCTGCATACACACACCTCACCTGCATACACCGCCTCACCTGCATAAACCCGCCTCACCTGCATACACCCACCTCACCTGCATACACCCGCCTCACCTGCATACACCCGCCTCACCTGCATACACCCGCCTCACCTGCATACACCCGCCTCACCTGCATACACCCACCTCACCTGCATACACCCGCCTCACCTGCATACACCTGCCTCACCTGCATACACCCACCTCACCTGCATACGCCGCCTCACCTGCATACACCCACCTCACCTGCATACACCCGCCTCACCTGCATACACCCGCCTCACCTGCATACACCCACCTCACCTGCATACACCCACCTCACCTGCATACACCCACCTCACCTGCATACACCCACCTCACCTGCATACACCCGACTCACCTGCATACACACACCTCACATAAATGTATTGTCCCCAAGTACCTACAGATGGAGAAAGTTGCCGTGTCCCCTTCTTTACCTGATACACCATCTACACAGGACTTCCAATCACTCATGCTTCCTGTGAACAGTATGTAGATGATAGGTCTTCAGGAACCCATGCTTGTCATCAGAGGCAACTAATGGTATCGGGTTGTCAGGCTCACTGACTAGGTTGATGTCATCGGTACTTAATTCGTAGATGCTCATGATGTCAATCACTGGTTTGTCTGGTCCAGACTTGATCATTTACTGAGAATATTGCTGAGTGCGGCTTAAACAAAATATCAAACCAAAAACTGCATACAAATTGAAAAAAGATGCAAATAATTTTCTTTGTGGGACACAAAACGCATCATAACATTTATCCAACTGCAGACTTCATGTAGATATTTCTATTCCGGTTAGACAAACATACTGATAGATGCCAATTAAAAAGCACAATGTGACTACCCTGTAAAAATTGTGGCTACCCAATCAAAATCAAATCCCTGGGTAAAATACCCAAACCACCAAAAGCTGATCTTGAGCTCTGGTATTATGCATGTTACCAGAGTGAGTCATCTCCCACCTCAAATATTGAAACATCTATTTCATTTAAGACATTTCTTTCGGAATGTCAGACCTACAGTACACTTAACAGCATATCCAAAGTGTAAAAATTGCAACAAAAAAACCCTTTAAAATATGGCACTATCGATGGACTATTTGACAATAATAATGTTGGACATTCAGAGATTCTTATCTGGTGAATTGACTTACATCATTAATCACACTGGTTTCTTTATCAAAATGTTTATATATACTGGATTTATTTGGTCAATTGTTTGATACAGTATCAAAGAATGTCACAAAAAAACACTTAAATCATTGTGGTTAATGACGTACATTAATTCCCTTCCAGATCATGCAGATTCTTGCCTATATGCATGTGAAAAGTACAAAACATTAACATGCTAATTGTGTCTGCACACAGAGGCATCGATTACCGGAACCATTAATATTTAACCATGTTTACTGTGAAATATCCTCAGGCACAAAACCATTGATCACAAAGCCATGCATAATGCTAATGACATCCAGTGCACGTCAATGGTTAGTTTCTGGTTTCCACAGCCACACAGAAGGACATCACGAGATGTTTTAATTAGTAAATTTAACAGCTGACATTAGGCAAGAAAACTGATCTTCTGTTTGTTTGCTTGTTTGTTTGTTGTTTAACGCCGCACTCAGCAATATTCCAGCTATATGACAGCAGTCTGTAAATATTCAAGTTTGGACCAGACAATACAGTGATTGACATCATGAGCATCGATCCAAGCAATTGGGATATGATGACATGCATCAACCAAGTCAGCGAGTCTGACCACCCTATCCCGTTAGTCGCCTCTCTGATTTACTGATAAGCTATTTATTTGATGTATGTGTTCTGGTTTTTTCTGGGGCGGTCGGGTAGCCTAGTGGTTAAAGCGTTTGCTCGTCACGCCGAAGACCCGGGTTCGAATCCCGACATGGATACAATGTGTGAAGCCCATTTCTGGTGTCCCCTGCCGTGATATTGCTGGAATATTGCTAAAAGCGGCGTAAAACCAAACTCACTCACTCACTCTGATGTTTTTACTGACATTGATTCACAAGAATATAATTCCTATTCCTAAGAGGGGTGGTAAAGACATGAAGCTGAAGTCTTAGAAGGCTGACTACTGATTGGCTGAGTAAGTGAGTGAGTGAGTTGGGTTTAATGCCTCTTTGATCAGTATTCCAGTAATATCACAGTGTAGTCGGCTTAATGTGGGAGGAAAGGCGGAAGTGATGCAGGTCTCAGACGTTTACCACTTCGGTGAAACCCACAAGCGTTGGTATGGTGCTGGTAAACCTAGAAACATACAAACCTGGATTTGAACCCACCAACAAATGTTTCTGGCGTGCCCAAGGGATTCTGTACAGCGAATAAAAAAATGAAATGACTTCCACCCGTGCCCCGATTAGCTCAACAACCAACTCATCCTTCATTTAGATTGGGAGGTCAAAGTTCATTCCATGTTCACCTGACAAGACCTCGGATCTTGAAGCATCAGAGTAAATTTTAATGAAGTTGTAACATCTACAGCCATGATTGAATTTACCTTGGTTTGGAATAATGATCCAATGACAACCTGCTTCACCTGTCTGTGGGCCAATGGACTACAGGTGCGTATTATTTGTACTTGTATAGAATAGAATATAGTCTTGTAAAACCCTGAGATACTGTAAATCTGGAAATTAATGCATCACTAAATTAATGTGAATGTCTACCCCTGGCCTAAAACGCTTCAGCGAATATTTCAACTTTTGAACCACACCCACAAATCACCTTACAATAACACCAAGACCGTAGACTTGGAATTCCATGACATAGTATTGGGTGATAGCAGTTCAATTGAATTATATCATTTGCTGTCAATATTCGGAAAAAAGCCTGCTCATAGGACCGTGGCAGGGAGATCTTGTGACTGGCTCGTAGTTATGGCCTGCAGTAAAGTATTTGATGTATTTGTCATAATAAGCTGCTGTTGTATAAAAGGGGCCCGACAAGTTTAGTCAGGGCCTGCAGTAAAGTAGTGTTGATGTATGTGTCACAATAAGCTGCTGTTGTATAAATGAGGGCCTGACAAGTGTAGTCAGGGCCTGCAGTAAAGTAGTGTTGATGTATTTGTCACAATAAGCTGCTGTTGTATAAATGAGGGCCTGACAAGTGTAGTTATGGCCTGCAGTAAAGTAGTGTTGATGTATGTGTCACAATAAGCTGCTGTTGTATAAATGAGGACCAGACAAGTGTAGTTATGGCCTGCAGTAAAGTAGTGTTGATGTATGTGTCACAATAAGCTGCTGTTGTATAAATGAGGGCCTGACAAGTGTCGTTATGGCCTGCAGTAAAGTAGTGTTGATGTATTTGTCACAATAAGCTGCTGTTGTATAAATGAGGACCAGACAAGTGTAGTTATGGCCTGCAGTAAAGTAGTGTTGATGTATGTGTCACAATAAGCTGCTGTTGTATAAATGAGGGCCCGACAAGTGTGGTCAGGGCCTACAGTAAAGTAGTGTTGATGTATGTGTCACAATAAGCTGCTGTTGTATAAATGAGGGCCCGACAAGTGTAGTCAGGGCCTGCAGTAAAGTAGTGTTGATGTATTTGTCACAATAAGCTGCTGTTGTATAAATGAGGGCCCGACAAGTGTAGTTATGGCCTGCAGTAAAGTAGTGTTGATGTATGTGTCACAATAAGCTGCTGTTGTATAAATGAGGGCCTGACAAGTGTCGTTATGGCCTGCAGTGAAGTAGTGTTGATGTATGTGTCACAATAAGCTGCTGTTGTATAAATGAGGGCCTGACAAGTGTCGTTATGGCCTGCAGTGAAGTAGTGTTGATGTATGTGTCACAATAAGCTGCTGTTGTATAAATGAGGGCCTGACAAGTGTAGTTATGGCCTTCAGTAAAGTAGTGTTGATGTATGTGTCACAATAAGCTGCTGTTGTATAAATGAGGGCCCGACAAGTGTAGTCAGGGCCTGCAGTAAAGTAGTGTTGATGTATTTGTCACAATAAGCTGCTGTTGTATAAATGAGGGCCCGACAAGTGTAGTTATGGCCTGCAGTAAAGTAAGTGTTGATGTATTTGTCACAATAAGCTGCTGTTGTATAAATGAGGGCCCGACAAGTGTAGTTATGGCCTGCAGTAAAGTAGTGTTGATGTATGTGTCACAATAAGCTGCTGTTGTATAAATGAGGGCCTGACAAGTGTCGTTATGGCCTGCAGTGAAGTAGTGTTGATGTATGTGTCACAATAAGCTGCTGTTGTATAAATGAGGACCAGACAAGTGTAGTTATGGCCTGCAGTAAAGTAGTGTTGATGTATGTGTCACAATAAGCTGCTGTTGTATAAATGAGGGCCTGACAAGTGTCGTTATGGCCTGCAGTAAAGTAGTGTTGATGTATTTGTCACAATAAGCTGCTGTTGTATAAATGAGGACCAGACAAGTGTAGTTATGGCCTGCAGTAAAGTAGTGTTGATGTATGTGTCACAATAAGCTGCTGTTGTATAAATGAGGGCCCGACAAGTGTGGTCAGGGCCTACAGTAAAGTAGTGTTGATATATGTGT